AGTCCACCTCAGCCTTTCTTTGGAGCGCGTAACTAATATGCATTCCTCTTATTTGAGAATTGTTGAGCTACTGCCAAATTGGTAAAGATCCTTTGGATTTTGTTTAAAAACACTCCTCAATGTCATGACTCAGTCATTCCTGTGGCTCAGTCTTTCCTGATGATAGAAACCGCATTTCCCTACTACTTGTGAAGTCACCTAGTGTCTTGCCTTCTCAGGTAGCATCACAGTCATGTCCTCAATTCATTGTCCTCTGACTGTATTACAGTCATTCGAAACGTACCTATGGCAGGACACAGCCTTGTACACATACCATTTCTGACCCATTTTATTTATTTTATGACTGAATGTTATCCACATTTCTGCCTAGAAGAATTTCTCAGAACCTAACTCAGATTAAACCCATTATTCCATCTACCATTATCTCTCACAAGTCAATTAGAGAAAAACAAACCACATAAACTAAATTTACAGGTAGTAAATTATATTTTATTCTTCAGCCCTTTGTGTTGCCAGTATGTATTGACTGGGTACAATTAGCTTATAATTTTCTTCACAAGTTTGGCTTGCAAGTAGTTATTGGGCCTTCTTTCTTAGACCACTGATAGAAACCCATCAAATTCCTACTTCAGAGAATGATTAGAATCAAACTAATTTAAAAGTCAACCTCAGTGTATGTACTACATTTGTAAAATCTGAATGTAATGTTGTATGCATGTGTGGTTTTCTTTTCTATTTTATTTATTTATTTATTTTGCTGTGTTACATGATTTCACCCACAGCTGAGTATGCGTACACACTTCATTTCATATTCTATATCTTGAGCACTGATAATCACAATAAAATATAGAACTTGTAAGTAAATAATGTAAAGGACCTTACAGTGTGAAGAATTGCAAATCTCAAATCTCCCTGATTGACCTCTCCTTGCACTAATGCCAAAGAGAATGAAATTCGATCTTTCTACCAACTTCTGTAGTGTGAAAGTCACCAAACATGAAAGCAATATACATTAATTACTGGTGACTAAAAACAAAAGTTGGAAAGCAAAAAGAAAGCCTGGTAGTTGGAAATAGAGCCTTAGGGGAGAAACGATACTGGATATCACATAACAGAACTTTCCACAGCCAACAACTTATTTGTTGTAAGTATCTTTTCGACTAGTAAATGATAACTCTATCATTTCGATTATGTGGACTCCACCAAATGGGATATACAGGAATCAAACTGACTATATCCGTGGAAATATATGACAGATAAGCTCAATATCATTGATGGCAACAAGGCCATGAAGTGACTGTGGAGCAGACCATCAAATGTTTATATGCAAGTTCAAGTTGAAGCTGCACAATTAAGTATGACTGCAGGTGTATCCAACCTGAATTTAGAGACCATCCCAAGAATAGTTTTGACAAGTTGAATGTGAGTGAATGAAGACTAGGAGAAATCCAAAGATCATTTAAAAGACAGGGAAGGAAGAAAAGACAAAAATGAATTTTAGAAGAGACTCTGAAAGTTGTCCTGGAATGTAGAGTACCTAAAGTGAACAGAAGAAATGATGGAGTAAAAGACCTGAGCAGAAGATTTCAAAGAGCACATGAAGTAGACAAAGTAAAATAGTATAACGAAATGTGCAAACACTTGGAGTTTAGAAACTAAAAGGGAAGAACATATTTGGCATTTCTCAAGCTGAAAGTACTGAAAGAAAAAATCAAGCATTGAGCTGCAGTATTCAAGGAGCCTATAGAAAAATGTTGAACAACACAGGAATTGTCAAAAGAAAATGGAATGAATAGAGAAACGCTATGGAAAAGACCTGGATGGCCATATCAAGAGGTGCTACATGATTAAGAACTAAAGGCACTCAAGGAAGAATTCCAAGATGATCTGAAGGTGCTGAGGGGGAAGAAGTCTTCAGGAGTCAACTGAGATGTTTCAATAAACGGATGCCATCCTGATAGCTGTTGGTCTTCTCTACCAAGAAATTTGGAAAGACAGCTACCTGGCCAATGGCCAGAAGTGATCCATATATGTGCCCATTGCAAAGAAAGGAATTGCAACAGAATGTGAAACTCATTAGGCAATACCAGTAATATCACAAATAAGTACAATTTTGCTGAAGATAATTAAAAGACGGTCAAGGCAGTCCACAGACACAGAGCTGCCAGAAATTCAAGCTGGATTCAGAAGAGGATATAGAATGTGGAATATCATTGCTAATGTCAGGTGGATCTTGGTGGAAAGCAGAGAGTACAGAAAGTTGTTTACTGTGTTTTATGAACTATGCAATGGCATTCACCTGTGTGAATCATTACCAGTTATAGATAACATTACATACAATAGAAATTCCAGAACACACAATTTTTCTCAGGGGAATCCTGTACTTGACCAAGAGGCAGTTTCTTGGAAAGAACAAGGGAT